TCAGTTTTCACACTCAGCAGTATTTTGAACAACCTCTTTTAATACCTGTACTAGTGTTTGGTCTCCACCTTTCAGGTATTTTGTTCAAATCTTAGAGGATAGGATAAGGAGTCCAATTTTTCAATATTGCTATCTTTTTGAGAAATACTGTACCTAGACTAAATGTTAATTCTTCATATAAGCTTGGAATATACTCCACTAGATATAATTTTAAAGCTTCAAATTTTTGAAATCAATGTGAAAATCACACAAAATAAATAAATGAAAGTCTAAAATTAAGTCAAATATAAAATCTTTGTAATAAAGATGTAATGTCTTTTTCTTAAAGGAGAGAGTAAAATGGACACACATGAACAGTTCATTTTTCATATTCTTTTTATAAATTGATATGTGATACAATTCATATTGAGGTATATGTGTGAAGTTTTAGCAGTCAAGAATAGGACAATAGTATGAAATTAAGACTTAATACTTGACCGAACAATAAGAAATGAATGTCTTATTGTTTGGAATAACCTAATAGTGAAAAGAAAACAGAATAGAGTAATAGCAAGAAGAAAAATAGTAGGAAATTTTAATAGATGCCTAAAAGGGATGGATTAAGCAGACAAAAATTGGTAAAGAGTTAAAAGATTTGAAGAACAAATTTAAAAGCCTGATATAAGAAAATCCTGGACCCAATAAATAGGAATACTCTTAAAAAACATTTTTTTAGAGCACAAAACCAACATTTATAAAAAGAAGTGAATTAACATATTTCAAAAGGAGTGTACAAAAACTGTGCATTCTTTTCTAAGTCATATGGATTCACAGCAATTCTCAAATTGTATTACACACATGAAGTTCTATAACAACAATGCAGTTAAATTAGAAATTAACAGTAAAGATAGGGAAAAACAATGTATTTGAATAAAACAAAAATACTCCCAAATAAACCATTTGTTAAGAAGGCAATAATAATAGAAACTATGAAATCTTTAGAACTGTCAGAAGATGTGCATATCAGATGTTTGATAATGGCGTTTAGGGGTAAGTTTTAAATTCAAAAGACAAAAAGATACCGTGGCACTACCAGACCCAGGCCTGCTTAATATATGCTTTCTACTTTTTTAAATGTCTTAAAATAAATTAGAGCATATACGAATTCACCCAGAACATGTCTGTGACAATAGTGCACTTATGAACTTTTAACTATTTGAGACTTTTTAACTATTTGAGATTGTATGGTGGTCACAATATCTAAGTCAATAAAATATGGTTCTTGATTTTTAAGAAACTTCCTTGCTTTTACCATTTTTAAGTTATATTGTGATAGGGTATGAACATCGTGTTTTGGGTTTTTTTTTCTTGACCTAGAGGACATTTAATACTTTCAAGTCTACTAATTTTTTCATTGTTTACTTCTCTTGTAGATAATTATGTATTTTCATTATTGTAATTTCTATATCATGCTATTAGAAATCAAAGTTGTCTGAGGTTCCAGGTTTTATAGTTTCTTCTTATGCTTGCTATCTTCATATTTTCTGAAATACAAACAAAAAACAGATAACATCTAGAAATAACATTTTAATTCATAAAGATGTAATTATTTCCATGATAATTTTAAATATTTTTTCTTATATTAAGATATCGGGAGATGCCATGACCACTACCCCTTATAAACAGGTATATGCTGGAAAAAGATATAATTATTATGGTATATTAGAAAATGCTGATTTTAATACTGTCATGATATTCAAATTTTTTTTTTTTTTTTT